TTAATTATTTTGCTTAGCACAATGAGTTGATCTATTTCCTGGAAATGTGATGTTTTTCATATTTCTTTATGGTTGCATAACATCCCATTAAATGCAGTGCATTTCTCTATCTGTTCCTTTCTTGCTAGATATGAAATACTGGTTTAATTTCCTGGTCATTACTAATAGCCGAACAAACAAACAAATGAAAACATATGGATATGCAACCATCTCTGTGGCATGACAATGTAGAGTCCTTCAGCCATGTAAGAATGTGGCAGAATAGAGTAATATGGTATTTCTGACTTGGATTTTGAACATCCTCTACATTCTGCTGTGAACATTATTTTAGCTATGGAAAGATGTGTTATATTTATTTATGCTGTGGGACATTTCTTTAACTATGTGAAGGTATGTTACATTTGTTGAATTTTATTTAACTATGCAAAGATGTGTTGCATTGGTTTCACCTCACCTGCCTAAGGCATCTGATCTAATAAAAAGCTGAATGGCCAGTGGCTAGGTAGGAAAGCAATAGGCTGGGCTGGCGAGTAGAGAGAATAAACAGGAGGAGAAAATTAGAGAAAAGGAGGAGAGAACAAGAGAGAATGGGATGGACATGCCCAGGGCTAGAAGCCAGGATATCACCAGCAAAACATGGTGGAGAAGCAGTGTAAGATATATAGAAGGAAAGAAAGTATAAAATCCCCAAGGCAAAACATTGAAGAGACAGATGTTAAGTTATAAAAGCTATCAAGAAACCAGCATAAAATAAGGCCAAGCATTTATTCGTAATGACTAATGAGTCTTCCTGTCATGATCTGAGAGCTGGCTGGTGGCCTAAAAGAAAGCTTGATACCACCCTCATTTCCACAGTTGCCACATTTGTTTACATCCTAGGCAGTAGGGAAGGAGGGCTCCTCTTTCCCTGCTGTCTTGCCAGTATTTGCTGTTATTTTACTACCCCTTTCTTCCTTCTGTTTTTGTTTTGATATTATCCATTCCAACTAGGGTGAGATAGAATCTTAAGAAACTTTTCCATTTCAATTTCATAATGGCTTAAGGATGTTGAACATTTTTCTAGTTTCTGGTTATTTGTATTTTTTCTTTCAAGAACTGCCTGATCAGTTCATTAGCACAGAACTCCTATTTGATACAGTCCTCAAAATCTTAGAATCCTCAAAGTCAAGAGAAAGAAATAAAGAGTATAATGAGGGAAGAGATTCTAATTATTCTCATTTGTAAATGCTCCCATATGTAAAAGATTGCACAAGAAAACTCTTAAGTCTTATACACATTTTCCAGCAATAGAACAGGAGAGAAAATCACACAAATATCAGTAGCTCTTCTCTATACGATCTTCCTGAGAAATAAATCAAGGTTAAAAAATGCGTAATAGCTTAACACACACACACACACACACACACACACACACACACACACACACACACACGTACGCATGTGTGTCTAGGTGTAAATGTAATCAAGGAGATGAAATACTTCTACAATAAAAACTCACAGAAGATGGAAAAATATCTCATATTAATGAATTGGCAGAATTACATCTATATTATATATGACATGTATAGTAGTCATTTTATAATATATATCATAAATGTATATATATATATGTATATATATTATGAAAATATTTATCAAAAGCAATCTGCTGAGTAAATGTGTCATTCTTTACAGATTGGAAAATACCAGGAATACCACAAGGAAAGGAACTCTTACAAAGAATAATGCTGGAGGTACTAGAGAACCCAATACCAAATTTTATTACAGAGCCACAGTAACAAAACCACCATGATACTAGAACATAAGCATACATGCAGATCAACAGAATAAAGCCCCCCTGGGCTAAAAATATCTACCAACTAATTTTTAAGTGATGACATATATGTGGATTATTTGATATATATATCATATGTATATTCATACACAGATATTTATAAAACATATATAGGTAATGATTAGAGAGGGGGTTGGAGATACAGGAAGAAGTGGAATGGGGAGAGAGGTGGAAATGAACACTGGACTCATATACAAAATCCTCACATTATGAACAACAAAAAATACATCACTAAGGAAAGACAGACTTTTATCAAATGGGGCTGGACAAAGTAGCATTTCTGCATGCATTTCTGCATTTGTAGGTTTTAAATCTGAAGTCTTATCTCCCAACCTGCATAGTAATCCATTAAAAATGCATCAAAGAACTTGAGGTAAGTTCTGGAACTTTGAAACTATTTAGAGGAGAACATAAGCAAAACTCTGCAAGCCAAGCGTACCAACAAGGAGATGAGAAAAGGTAGGGTAAATCTTTGACAACTACGCCTCAGACAGTGTATTAATGTCTAGGGTATATAACAGACTGCAAAAATTAAACAACCACCCCATAAGTTATCAGGTTAATAAACTCAGTGCTTTCTAGAGATTCTAAGGTACATGCTGAGAATGGTGGCAGGTGCCAGCAGTCCCAGCACTTGGGAGGCTGAAATACAACCATCAGTTTGTAGCCATACTGGGCTATGAGCAAGATCTTGTAGCACAAAACAGAAAAAGAAAATTCTACCACTGGGAATTGTGTTGCTTTTACTTTTCTAGTCCTTGTTGATTTGCCTCCCTTTGCTTCTTGTTTCTTATCGCTCAGCATTTAAAGCTCTTGGCTCTGGGTTTATGTTAGTCTTTCAGAATGTTTATCATTGCTCTATGCTATTAAATATTGTTTGTTGTATGCATATATATCCTGTAAAAGTAAACAGAAGAGAAGCCACCATCATTTGCTACTGAGTTGGATGTTATTTTAATAGTACAAACGTGAGGCCTTCCTCGGCTTATATCACCTGGATCTACACAGGGCTCACATTCTCACTCCTCTGTCATCCCCACACAGATGTCACCATATGGAAGTTTCCATCCCATATGATCTTGAGCAAAATAACACCCATCATCAGAGTTATGCCAAGCAGTACCTGAGAGTAGAACATATATTATGTTCTTTGTGATTTTCCTTAATACCGGTTTCCTCACATTAGATACACAGCCAAGCACACTACAAATCCCTACTTACTTCACTCAGTTATTCTGAGCAAAGTGAGTCACATCAGAAAATGATGAAGACATGCTGGTTGAATGAGTGAATCCTTAGAGAGAGACACACACAGAATGAGAATACAAGATTGGAGATTAATGGCTCCACCTCCAGTATATCACCCAGTTTCATCTAGAATAGGTGACAATGTCCTCAACCTAAGGCTGTGATTCAATAGTTCTGGGGCCAGAACTAAGAAACAGAATTTTAAATAATGTCCCTGTTCACCCTCAGGCTGTTCTCAAGGAAATCATGCTTTGTCTTGATGAACCAATTTTTTTTTCTGTCTGAAACTCAATTTATTAAAACAAATTTAAGTTATTTATTGAATCAATTTATCATCACTCTTTATTTTCTTTAAGAACAAGCTATGACTTTCCCAAGCAAGTCTGATGAGCAAAAATTCAAAGCAAATAGTACATTTAGGGACAGAGCAATGGTATCAATTTTAAAATGATTATAAAGGCAATGCCGTTTTGTTTTTGTTTTTGTTTTGTTTTTTGAGACCTGGTTTCTCTGTGGCTTTTGAGGCTGTCCTGGAACTATTCTTGTAGACCAGGCTGGTCTCGAATTCACAGAAATGCACCTGCCTCTGCCTCCCGAGTGCTGGGATTAAAGGCGTGGGCCACCAATACCCAGCGGAAATGCCGTTTTTAAAAGAAACTTTTATTTTAAAAACTAAATTATATGTCTGTCTGTCTCTCTGTGGGTCTGTAAATGTGAATTCAGGTGCCAGGCCAGAGGTGTTGATGCCCTGGAGCTCGAATTATAGGCAGTTGTGAACCATCTGATATGGGTGCTGGGAATTGAACTCTGATCTCCAGGAAGGGCAATATGTGTGCCTCATCATTGAGCCATCTCTCCAGCCCCAGAAACTTCTACTTATAACATATAGGAAAACAATATGCTAAAATCCTCCCAACAAAATCTTACATCTCATCTATTTTTAAGTATTCAATTCTGAGGCAAGTATATTCATCCTGTGATACCTGGTTTTCACTCCACTTTCCTCTTTCCAAAATTATGTCTGATGCTAGACATGGCAGTCACACATGTATCGATCTTATAGGTGTCACATTTCACAGGGGTGTTCATACAGTGTAAGCCAAATGAGAATACATGACCCAAACCTATCCTGAATAATGTTAGAGGGGGTTCTTGGATTCTGAGTATTCAAACTTGGATCCACTTTATTAAATTTGAAGGAAAAATAAAAGAAGCTAGACTATATAAATCATGTGAGACTGATTTTGTGACTCAATCCAGTCAACCTGGTAGCCTTCTCATTGATGTAAAGTAACAGAGCTTGATACCAGATGCTTCATATCTTTTGTGCCTGGGCTGCATATGTTTAAAAACAGGATTTTCCCCCAAACAGGACCACATGGGTCATTTTGTCATATTAGAAATGCAGTGTGGGTTTCTTGTAGCTCTGACACATGCTGCCTTTCCTTATAGCATGCAAAGATAGCTGTTCACATAATGTGCCTCCCAATACTCCCAGCCACAAATACATTAGCTCTCAGACAAGCACCATGCTATCATCAACGAGATGCCACAAAATAAGACACATTCTAATATCGCTTTGAAAAGCATTGCTTTGTGCTTTAAGTGCTGAGAACAAGCAAACGCCTCTGCCTATACTTTCAATCAGCTTCTGTATTGTTCAGAGAAGTAGGTGACAGCATAAGAACCATGTGAGCATTGTATTCAGGAACGATAAGAAACATAAAGAATATTAGGCTCAGGTAGGTAGACAGGTTGATAGGGTGGCACTAGAAGCCTGCTGTTTTCGCAGAAACAATTGTAACAGCTCTATTATGTAATGGAACAATGGTTTTCAAAGATTTATGACAATCACATGCTTTAGCAGAGATAAATTAATTACTAAATTGATTTATACCACCCTTCCCGGTAGTCTTACTTGAAGGCAGATCTCTCATTTTGGGGATATAAAAACAGTCCCTAAATTGCTTCAGTTTATCTTCCTCATCCAAGCGGAGAGCAACCCTCTCATCTGTTGGGTGGCATTTGAGTTCAGCTGTGATGCGCTGTACTGCATCAACGGGTAGCTCAAGTGGCAGGGGCTCCATCACAAACTGTTATCAAAGAAGGAAGTAAAATGATGAAACAATATAGCTACCATGATTTTAAACTCAGATTCCCATTTTGCAACTCCAGAAGCAATAGAATTACAGCCAGGAGTGCTGGCACACACCGGTTATCCCAGAACTGGGAGGCTGAGGTAGAAGAATTACTGAGAGATAGACAGAAACTTGGGCTACACAGTGAGAGTCCCACCAGGATGGGCTACATACTGAAATCCAGCCCCCAAGAATCAACAAACAGAACTGGCCAGAGATAGTGCACCAACAGTAAGGGCTCTGGCTGCCCAGCCTGAAAAATGCAAGTTCCATTCCTGTACCCCACGTGGTGGGAGGAAGTGCCTTTAAACCTCATCCTAAGATTTCATTATATATAAAATGAAAATAGTAGTAACTTAGAAATGTTTGAAAACACTCTGCTAGGTATTGTGGCACAACAGGGAGGCAGAGGCAAACCTCTGTGAGTTTGAGGTCAACCTGGATTGCATAAAGATTTCCAGTCCAGTCAGGGATACACAGTGATACCTTGTCTAAATAAACAAAAGCAAAAGTTGCTAAGGATGAAGAAGAGTTATTGTCATTAATGCTGCTGGTTTTTTATTTTGTGGGGGGAGGGTTGTGTGGTTCTGTGTGGTATATGTATGTATGTGCATGTGTGTTTGTGCTTTGCAAGTCTGTTTGTGTGCATTTGGAGGCTGAACATCAGTGTTGGTATCATCCTCATCCATTTAGTCTTACATTCCTGGCACAGGTACTCTAACTGAACCAGGAACTCACCAATAGCCTAGGCTGGCTTGCCAATGAGCTCCAGGGATCTGTTAATCTCTAAACTTCCCTTCATGCTGGGGTTACAAATGCCTGTTGCTGCAACTAGATTTTTCTGTGGGTGCCAGAGATTTGAAATCAGATCCTTATGCTTGCATGGCAGATCGTTTACTGACTGAGACATCTCCGTTACCCTTCTCATTTCATTATTTTTCAATTTTAGCATTTATTTATTTTTATTTTGTGTGTTTGATTATTTGCCTACATGTATGTGTATGCATTCTTTGTGTGCAGTGTCCACAGCAGCTAGAAGAGGGTCCTTGGAACTGGAGTTACAGGCAGTTATTAACTGTGTGGGTGCTGGGAACCAAAGCCTGGTTCTATGTAAGAGAACAAGAACTCTTCGTAACTCAGCCATCTCTGTAGCCCCCATTTCATTCTTATCTGAAAAAAAAGGACCACAAATTTATTGTTTCATCTCATTCTATCTAGCTTTTTTTGTTAAGTTGTGGCAATGAAGGTACTTTTTTAAAAGTAGAAGTACAGACACACAATTCTCCATTTAACAACATTTTAAAACTATGGATAACTTAAACTTTAACAAGCAGGATTCTGTGGTATTTGTTGAAACCACATCCAATTGTTCCATAATCATCTAGAACTCTTTAGTGTTTCGGGAAGTGTGCAGAACCTTTCTGAGGGGGCCATTGGAGGTTTATTATTAATTTATTTTGTTAAATTTACTTTGTGTATGTGTGTGTGTGTGTGTGTGTGTGTGTGTGTGTGTGTGTGTGTGTGTGTATAAAATGCATATGGGGACACCTACATGCCACTGAGCATGTGCAGATGTCAGAGAAAATCTACTAGGAATTGGTTCTTTCTTTGCACCTTGGGTGTGGGTATTAAACTCGGAACATCAGCCTGTGCAGCAAGCACTTTTGCCTGTTGAGCTGCCTCACTGCCCTAACAATGGAGGTTTAATTGCATGTTTTAGCTCCATTCATTTGTTGGTTTATTGATTTATGGTCCCTTAAATTTTAGGTTATTGAAGTTGAGTAAGAGAGGTGTTAAAGACAACCAGCCCTCCTTAGACTTTCTTGATCTGCACATGGTAGTTCTGTAAGCATTATCCACCTAAGACTTTAAAATATATACTTGCCATGCTCCCTCCATGTGGCTCCTGACACTGGTAGAAGAGCAGGGTAGAAGGCTGTAAGTGCCATTTCTTGCACATATGACATTGTGTGGAAAGAAGGGAGAGTAAATAGCATAGTAAATGTTGTAGATAGTTTTAAGAACTAAAGGGACAGAATAATGCAAGGGTTTAGTTGATATACCTCAATGGGTGGGGCCTTGTGCTTTTGCATTGATGGAGATCAGTTTGAAGGAAGACAGTTGTAACTGAAAGGTTCTCGGCAGGAGATGACTTTGGTCTGGTCAACCAATGCCATGTAGGGTTGGGGAGGGGGAATAGAGTGAAGTAGACAGGGACAAATGTTAGTCACAGGAAACTTCTGAGACTAGACGGGCTTTGGGATACTTGTTGTATAGAAAACTTGCTTATTGAACCCAACGCAAAAATGATATGTAAATCTTCATTAAATGAAAATCACTATGTGCTGGGAAGAATTATAAGAATCTAACAGAGAGCTGGTGAGATGGCAAAGCAGGTAAAAGTACTTGCCGCCTGAGTCTTTCAACCTGAGTCTGATTCTCAGAGCCCAAAAAACCAGATGGGGTAACACACACTTGTAATTACAGCATTCCTGCCATAAAAAGGGAGGGGGAAATAGGAAAACTACCCAGAATTGCCTGGGACAACCAGCCTAGAGTGTGAGCCTGGCAAAACAAGAAAGCCCTTGACTCAACAATGTGAAAGGAGAGAACCAACTCCTGAAAGTTTTCCTCTGACCTCTAGAAATGCACTATATGGCACATACACATATGTGCCTGTACTAATGTAGAAAAACCACATACACACATACACACACATGTGTGCACACAGTATTACATATACTAGTAATAATAAATCATTTTTTAAGTGTTACAGGTTTGAAAAAAGAGAAGAGTGCAAGTTCATGATACAGTTGGTAAGAAAACCATAGACAGTGTGGCAACTGCTTCTCCTATATAGATGACAGATTCCTACATAGAAAAAATTTAATCCCATAAGTACTGGGCATCTAGAGAGTGATGCTAGTGTGGCCACTGCCATCCATCTCTGCAATGACAAGTGTATGTGATGTTTGGTTTTCACCTCACACTAAGAAGCATCTAGAATGGGTTTTGTCCAAAACTGGTATGGAAGAAGCTTTAAAGTATCATTTTATCTTCTATCCTTCCTTTCCTATTCACCCCTAACTAGAACACAGTTTATTTAGGTCCATGTATGGATGAGAAAGACAGAATATGCTTGTCGAACTTGCAACTTGATTTTAAGTTGGTTCCTACTTGGATACCTTCTGATGAAGGAGGCTTGTTTTTCTCCCTTGATCTGACACATTTGGTTAGACCTTGCCTGAACCCTTGACTATGCATTGCTGTCTGGGAATGATTTGCTGCAACTTCATTGAGGCAGTGAGCATAGCATTTAGCTGAGCATAATACCAGATTCTTCCAGGAGTTTGAACTGTGATAGACATTGATTAATTCAGGTAGAAACAGAATCATGAATTTCAAAGAATCAGAGAGAATCCATGAAATGCCAGGACTCAAGAGTATATGGTCACAAGAGAGTCATTTTTATTTTCACAGTGAGACAGAAGTATTGATTATTAAAACATGGAAAATATGCAGTGATTCTAGCAGCAAATAAGGTCACTGAGCTGAGTTGAGAAATTGTTGTGGGTAAACAGTGAAGACACTGAACAAATACCAACTAGTCTGTGTTGAGAATCACAGAACCTTGCTATGCACTGAGCTCTGTGCAAATCTCCGGGGCCTGTTGAGGGCTGTTGCTAAACATCCTGGAGTGTTCTTTGTCCTGGCTGTTACAGTGAGTTCCTGTAGGCTGTGTTAAAGTCTATTCCACTGGCACTACCCCATGTTTAATTTCTTATGATGGCTACCCCATTGCTAAACAGTATTGTTCATATAGGTTTTCCCTAAAATAAAAGGTCAGCTGAATAGGAGAGGCCAAACAAACAGCTCAGTGACTTATGAGACATGAGCAATAACCTGCTCCCAGGGGAATGTGCCCTCTCTCCCTCTGGACCATAGGGAGACTAATTAGAGAAACACTTTTTTGTGAAGTACAGAATCAAGAGTTTTCCTTATGTTGGAATTTTAGCTGGAGTGGTGGCACTTTACTGTTTGTGTGGGGACATGTGAATTCTGAGAGTTCTCTCAATTCTGAGATTAATTCATTGTCATATTCTAAGCAGCACCTCACTATCCTTACCAGGAACATTTGTGAACACTGCAAATTATTCTGTAGCCACATTTTAACCTTGCTTCAATCCGTGAAAGACTGGTGCAATACTTCTAAATGAAACTGGGAATGTTTGCTCAAGCCTACAGCCTCAAGGCTAAGGAGGCTGAGGATTTCCTTGAATTCAACTGTATCCTAAGACCTGTCGTAAACAACAGCAATCTAAAAATGGTCTTCCTGTTTACTTAAACATATTTTAACATACACCAAAACAATACAGAAAAAAAATAGAAATAATTTGTGTGAGCAAATGTAGAGACTTTCTAAATGTGAAAAGAATGGTAGTTATTTGACCATCAATTAAACAAATGTTTATTGAGCATTTACTATGTCTTACGTATGTAGCTCTGAAAAATAAAATAATGGTCCTAAGCTCATGACAAAGCATGTGAACAATATAAAAGCGAATCATGTGGGTATGGTGGCACATATCTGTTATCAAAGTTATCTTACAGGGGAAAAGACAGAAGGATTATGAGTTCTAGGCCAGCCCTGACTATATAGCCAGATCCTATCCAAAAACAAATGAGAAAAGTTTGCACTTACATCCAGTTAGTCCTTGTAACAATACAGAGGAGTTAAAAGTTATTTTAATCTGGAAGTCAAAGACTGTACAACAGATTAAATAATGGACTCTAAGGCCAATGCAGTGTTCATCATCAAGTGTGTCTGAGACTGTAGGGCAAACTGGGCTTCTCTTGAAGAAGTATGGAGTCAGCCCCACAGAGAAAAGTTCCTGCTTGGAGAGAGAAATCCTGTTCAGAGCAACCTCTGATTTCCTTATATCCTGTTT